AATCCTGCTCATATATTAAGGGGTGTGGACATACAAGGTTAGAGACCATGTAAGAAGTTGTATGTTTACAAAAAGAACATTGATCCTCATATTCCGAAAATAACACAAAACATCCAAAAAGCCACCGTACTGATTTTTCAAATTTCAAGAAATTCCTAAAGTTTCAAAAATTCCTTGTATTCCATAAAATTCCAACAATTCCAAAAAATCAAAGAATTCCAAAAATTCCAACATTCCAAAAATTCCAAAACATTATTCTCCTAAATCAGTTGATTTACTTGATCAATCCTCCAGAACGCGCTATTTCCCTAAATTCCCAAATTCCCTACCCCATGTGTTGGATTTTGGCATTTCCCTATTTCCCTAAATTCCCTAAATTCCCTAATTCTTACCCCCGTAGGGAATTCCCTAAATCCAACACATGGGGTAGGGAATTAGGGAATTTAGGGAATTTAGGAAAATAGGGAATTCCCTAAATCCAACACATGGGGTAGGGAATTAGGGAATTTAGGGACTTTAGGGAAATAGGGAAATCCCTAAATCCAACACATGGGGTGGGGAATTAGGGAATTTAGGGAATTCAAGGTTGGTCCTTGGGGGGACGAGCATCTGGGTATGGGTGGGGGCGTCTCTAGGGTCAGTATTGCATCTTCGCAGTACCGAAGATGCTAAAATGTAGGGGTGGGGGGATAACCACGCGCCCATATATAAACCCTAAACCCTAAACCCTAAACCCCAAAAAGCCCTAAACCCTAAACCGTATCCCCCAGAGTGCTGGCATCTTTTCGGCCCTGCTCCAGGCATGCTCCGATCATCACATGCTCTCCTGAGGACGGTCTAGGGTTTAGGGTTTAGGGTTTAGGCTTTAGGGTTTAGAGTTCCTGCCTTGCTTGCATAGATATCTTTCGGAGGATCCAAAAAGTAGATCCTTTAAGGGGGTTTAGGGTTTAGGGTTTAGGGTTTATAGGGATTAGGGTAAAAAGTAGATCCCTTAAGGGGGGTTCCTATAAGGAGCCCTTAGTAGTAGAGGGTCCCAAAAAAAGGGTTCTACTTTCTAGATCCGTCCGGGGGTCTGGGTATAGACTCCGAGGTAGGGTTCAGGGTTCAGGGTTCAGGGTTCAAGGGTTTAGGGGTTTAGGGTTTAGGTTTGGGGGGGTTTACTGTAGGGTTTAGGGGTTTAGGGGTTTAAGGGTTAGGGGTTTAGGGTTTCGTGTCAGGAAGACCCCTTACAGGGGACCCTTCTTAGCCCCACTTCTGGCCCTCTTATGGGGGGCCTTATTGAGAGGGTCTACGTCCCCAATATTCCCCCTAATCCTAACTTCTATAGACATGTCATAGTAAGGGTTTAGGGTTTAGGGTTTAGGGTTCAGGGTTATACATCCACACACGCTCGCCATATTTCATGACACTGATGATGTGCCTATACCCCCGAACCGAAGCCAGGCCCGGATTCCGTTGGCCCGGTTTGGGGTTGTCAAAGTACTAGCATCCGAAATAGGCCAGCGAAGGCTGGGTTTTGGGTTGAGGATAGTTTGGGGGTAGCAGAAACCCTGACAAATTGCCCCGAGCTTTTCATACAACTCATCCTGGACCCTACGCACTAAACCCTAAACCCGAAACCCAATCTTCACCACCCCTCCTTGGGACTGCAAGACTCACCAACCCTGCCTGAACTCTGATCCGATCGTGCTCGCGGACCCTGCACACCCAGCCCTCCAGACTCCCTAAACCCTGAACACTAAACCCTAAACTCTGAACCCTGAACCTTAAACCCTGAGCCCTGAGCCCCTAAAACCTAAACCCTGAACCCTAAACCCTGAACCCCTAAACCCTAAACCCCTAAATCCTGAACCCTGAAGCCCTTGGCAGTCAAACTCGCCCCCTAAGCCCCAAACCAAACCCTAAACCCTGAACCCTAAACCCTCAACCCTCAACCCTAAACCCTAAACCCTCAACCCTGAACCCTACACCCTAAACCCTACCTTCAGCAGCCAGAACCTAATATAAAGTAGGTTGCTAGTGCACAACCTGGTTCTGAGAGCAAGTTGTGTGAGAACCGCGTTCTCTTGAGTAAAACCTGGTTCTTCTTCAAAACCTAGATTCTTATTGTATATATCGGGATTTCTCATGTTCATATTGGGGTTTAAGAGGTAATCTTGTGGAGTCCGACGAATTGTGGGGGCTTCAGAGACCTCGGGCAGCGCATCGGCTCTTTTTGTCGTGACGGCCCTGACCATCTTCGATCTGCGAAGGATGCCAGGGCCCCAATGCAGACACCTCGCAGAGAAGTGGGATGTTGCTTGATGACGGCAGTTTGAGGATCTTTCTATCTAGCCGTATCGGCTTTGCAGCTAGAAGGTAGTTTTCGCCATGGCTGATCGTTTTTCAGTGGAGGGTCTGGCGAAGGATTGGGAAGGAGTGGACAATATCCGGGCCAGAGTGCGTTCGGAACAGGGCAGGCTTGTGATTCAGAATGAGGATCAGACCTATGATCCAAGCAATCGTTTGGCAATCTTGAACTTGGATATCCTCGCCCCCATGTTGGTTCGAATGACCTCCTGCAACCTTAAGATCCCGGACATCGAGCCGTTGCGAACAACAGTGCAAGAGGTTTATCAACTCGTGGGCAGGGAGCCTGCGGAGTCCCAAGTCGACGATGAGGCATGGGCTCTCCGTCACCTCGTGGGTCATGTGAAGCGCAAGACCCAGAAGCATCTGGTTTCTTTGGACCCTGGGAATTATATGAAATTCGAGGTTTAATTCTAAACATTCTAGACCTAAACAAAGCCTGCAGCCTGCATCTTGGGCCAACTTAGGAACCGGATTTCCAAGACTTGTGCCTCATTTTGAATCCGGGCCTGGAGGATGCCTTTTAAGTGCGGTCCTGATTGTCGCGTTGTGTTGTTAAGCCCCGGTTCGTTCGCAGCGTTTGCAGGACCTGGTGCAAGATGTCCGGCGACGTGCAGAATCCGTCCCCGAGGCATCGCCTAATGACACGTTGGAGCACTACATGGCCCTATAGCAAATAAAAAGATATACTGATCCGATAGTACGTATTTGTGAGGCATTCAGCTTTCCTCGGAAGCAGGTGCTGCTTGGTGTAAGCCAGCCGGACTCCGGGGCTGGAGCTTTGGTGCCGGGAGAAAATTTGGCTGGTGAGGACGCTGCGCCGGCGCCCATGCCCGAACCCGAGCCAACACCGGTTCCCGAACCAAGACCGGAGCCGAATCCAGCAGGTGTCGAGGCCGAGCCAGCTCCCGAAAGCCCCATACCACCCTTTCCAATTCGCCCCAGGCCATCGAGACGCTCCGAAGCCCCCAGGCCCAGGCCCGATTCAACCCATACTCCCGAGCCAACACGTGGTCCCCAAGCACCTTCAACACGTGGGCCCGAAGCTTCCTCCACACGTGGTCCCGAAGCTCCCTCAACACGTGGTCCCGAAGCTCCCTCAACACGCGATCCCGAAGCCTCAACACGTGGTCCCGAAGCTCCCAGACCCAAGCCAACACGTGGTCCCGAAGCTCCTATGCCAAGAGTTGTTGGACCCAGGGCCGATAGTGTTCCAGCGGAGCCAAGTTCTGGTGCGATTGTCCCGAGTGCTCCCAGCACTCCCTCCCCTGTGTCTGAGCGACCCTCGCCAAGTCAATCCGTGTCTTCTGCAGAGTCGAGTAACTCTTCGGCTTTAGCATGCTTTGATGGAGTTTGTGCTACACAAATACTATTTAGGTTACTAGGTCCATTGAGGTTTCCGGGATGTCATGAATTATAAACCCCACAAATTTACAAATATATGCACGGTCATTGCTCATCCCAGGCAAAGCGAAGAAGTTCCAGCTCCAGCTTTTGCAGGATGAGCTCAGGAAGTGTCTTGCTTAGATGTAGTTCAAGCTCGTATGTGTCTACAAAAGAATCGGCTCCGAATGTCGATTGTTTTAAGACTTTGGCTATTCCAAGGATTCGGGAGAAGCGGGCGAAGTTTGACCCGTCCATGTGTGTGCAGCCAGAGGAACCCTCCCCAGGCCTTTGTTTCAAAACAGAATAATCCAATCTTCCGAGCATTTCCATACTCGTGTCGTGTATAGTACCGCCTGAGAAGCCAAGCCACTGCGCAGCCGGCGGTAGGCCGTCCAGAGCCTGGCGCAGCCGCCGCAGCCGCGCTGGTGACCCCTCCTTCCAAGAACAACTTCAGTCTTGCGGGTACAGACAATGCCGAGACCCAGCTCTTTGACATCATGGCAGTGGATACAACTAATGGTCCCTTGACCCCAGAGTACAACAAGCCGCAGAGAATCCCGAGCTCAACAACCGTGGAAGCAAAGCGTTGGGCCTATCAGCATCCCAATGAACCCAAGCAAGATCAGATGCCTCCCGCTGACCCCTCGACACTACCTGCTCGCGACGAGGAGCCGTGTGCTGTCGAGGCGCCGATGCCTGATGCTGAGGCTCCTGTGGATGATGAAGCAGCTCCAGAGCCTGAAGAGGCCGAAGCTGCAGAGGCCGACGAAGCTCCCGCGGAGGCCTGCCGAAGCATCCCACGGTTGTTTTCGACAGTTATTAAGGTCATGCCTGTAGATCTCTAGTTTGCAACCCATGTATCGAAACCAACCATATTCATTTGGCTATGCTGCTCATATATGCATTTGACAGGCTTTCGGGAGACGAGAGCAGCTTGGATTGAGACAGAGGATCAAAGCTGCCAACAAAGAGAAAAAAAATCAGGGCGGCAAGAAGCTCAAGCGCAAGAAGAGCAAGAGCAAGCTTGCTCGCATGAAGAAGATGCGCAGTTCGCGCTCTTCGTTCGAGGACACGGAAGGACTTGAGCCACACGAGGACGAAGCGGAGCCCGTCCAGGAAGAGGAGTTTGAGCCTGAGGATCCGTCATCTACCAGCAAAGCAAAACCGAGAAGCAAAGCCACACCGAAAGCCGAAGCTGCAAAGCCGAAAAGCAAAGGGTCACCGAAAGCCAAAGCCGCAGAGCCGAAAAGCAAAGGGTCACCGAAAGCCAAAGCCACCGCGAAAGCCAAAGCCACGGCGAAAGCCAAAGCCTCGCCGAAAGCCACCGTTGCCAAATCCAAGAAGGCTTCGTCTTCGAAAGCTCAGGAGGACGTTGGGGCGGAGCCCGCCGAGAGCGACGAGAAGCCCAAGTCCAAGGGGGGGCGACCCAAGGGATCGAAGAACAAGCCCAAGCAGGCCGAGGCGGCTGAGGTCATCGCGACTAAGCAGTCCCGTGCTGCCCGAGTGGCACCCAGCGTCCGCCTGAACCGCAAGTCCGCCGACGACACGCCCCACGACCCGGAGGATTACAAGTACATCCTTAGCTTCTGGGGGGACTTCGAGGATCCCAATGCCGATCTTCCGGTGCTCAAGCGAGAGGTCAAAGCCTGGAGACCAGTGTGGACCTACTTGAACCCGGACATATATTGGAGCCGGTGGGAGTGCGCTTTGACTTTCCACTACGAAGATGACGAGGGCACGGCTTGCAAAGCCAATGTGGGCCACTTCCATTTCGCTAAGAACAAGCCCGGGCTTTTGGTGGCCATTGCCTGTACCTACCTGCTGGCTGCTTGTCGGTAACAGTTACACTACATGCCGCAGATGCAGTTGGTTGTGGACTTTGCTACTAGGGTTGCTAATTTAAAGGACTGTGTGGGAGAGTAGTTTGTACTTAGTAGTTTACAGGGCTGCAGCTTTGCATCTTGGTGTCCCCGCCCTTCAAGCTTACCCCGAACACTGACTCCTCCCACCTGCTCCGCCCAGGCTTGGTTCATCGAGCAGGAGAACATCTTTGACCCGAGGCACGAGGACATCGCACCCAAGGTGCTATCCTTGAAGGCTGCCGGGTTCAAGGCGGTGAAGGAACTAGGTGCCATGAACTATGAAGACTAGAGCAATCTGAATGGTGATTGCTATTTTGCTGGAGCTGTCGATGCATAGCTCAGTCGGGGAACTTAGAGTGCTGAATATCAAAGTCAGTGCTGTGCTCGCCGTGATGGCATCGTAGCTAGCTCCTGCCTGGCCTCATCGGGGGAGTGTTGTGGCCTGCTGCTAGCAAGCGCTGCGAGAAGGATGCAAAGTAAACCGGATAAGCCAGTAAACCTAATAGACCCTTAAAGCCCAAAAAACCCTAAACCCTAAACCCTGATAATAATCATCTCGGGGTCTTCAATTTCATCGTCTCCTGAGCCTTTTCTTACGAAGACGTCTCGGGTTGTTTTCGTACATGCGGCTGATGCATACACTCTAAAGAGGTCTTACATTGGGGGAACATCCTGAAGCACGCTTGCTTAGCTACCGAAGCAAAACAGGACCCAGCTGCGAGTCCAAAGTTGAAAACAAGCGGGCCATGCACCGCCAGTCTGCTTACACACGAATGCACTCGCTCCGAAGTTAACCACCTCTAAAAGCCCTATAACCTTAAAGATTGTCCTGCCCAGGTTGCTTCATGCCGCGGCTGAAGTTCAAGGCTCGTTGCCGTCGTGCGCGCAAGCAGAAAGACCATCAACGTAGTCGACCTGGCATATTGCTCGAGTTGCCGGTGCTTGCTCTGTGTCTTCCGCATCTTTTGACGTGTCCCTACTTTGAATGAATGCTGCTGGCCCTCAGTCCTGAGACAATATTTAGAGTCGTGGTGTGTTTGTGCCCGGCCCCTCGTGTGCTGACAACATGGCACTGATAGATGAACTGGTGCACAAGCTCCTGGCCTTGGGGGCTCCAAAAGCCGCTCGCTGCATGTGTATCCTTGGTGTGTGCAGAAACTGTTGAAAACAAAACTGATGAGGGGGCTTTGTCAATCCACCCACGTTCTGGTGTCTGTCTCAGGACTTCATTGCCCTCGTGCTGCTGACGATCTGGACCGAGGGCCTCTACGACCTCACGCAGGCTGGTGGGACAGATGCAGACGCCGTTCTGTTGTGTGCTGATATAGACCCACACGGTGAGTGGATGTGTGCATCCCTGAACCCCATGCACAGTGCTTCGAGTGGATCGAGTACTTTGCTGGCTCATCTCGGTGCACTTCAAAGGTGCGCTTGAAAGGTTACACGGGTGCCCGTTTTGATAAAGCCTATCATACGCCCTCGCCGGACCGTCCTCATTCATCCAATTTTATGGATATCAACAGCCCCTCCGGCTTTGTGAAACCTAGTTGCAAGCTAACAGTTTTCCAAGTGATGCGTTTCTCTTAAAGTTGCTTATGTGAGCTATGTAACTGCTGTGGGGTTTTGGCTACCCCGGTATGTTTGTGACCAAGGCTGGCTATAGTGGCTTTGCTGAAGTGCAAACCGCAAGCTTTCGCAATTTGGCTGGGCATCAAGTGCTCCTCGTGGACCAGCATCAACAGGGGAACTTCGAAGCGATGTGCTTGCGACCCGCTGGGGGATCGAACAAAGCCTTCAGTTCGAGAGGCTAATATGATGCTAGAGAGGCAGGGCTTGGGGCTCCAAAGGGCGCTTCGATCTAGGAGGGCTTGCCCCGATGCTAGAGAGGCAGGGCTTGGGGCTCCAAAGGGCGCTTCGATCTAGGAGGGCTTGCTCGACTTCTTCATAAACGATGTGGCTCTATAGAAATAGAATTATACCTGACTGCCTCAGGAGCTCCTGTCTCCTACTTCTGGCTGTAGCCTTGGGCGGCTGCTTCATCGTCGAGCAACCAGGAGGATCACTGCTGGAGTTTTACCCTACTTTCCGCTTTGTCTTGAGCGCGGTGGTGAGACAAGCTGGTGTGGGGGCCGCAGGGATCTTAGTATGATCTTAGTGAGCAGGACGTAGGCCGGGTTTCCAAGGTTCGGGATTATATTCGGTCTGTCCGGTTCTACTGTATGCTGACAAGGCCCGGCATGATACTCGCATTCGTTCTTCCTCGGCTGGAAGCTTGGGTTTCTTCTCGTAGTGCTTTCAGTATAACACAAACCAACAGTGGCGACCGTCTTCTTGGAATTCAGGACCCGGTTCTCCATGATGCAAGGATTCCCTTTCTAGCCCAAATCCCGCACATCGCTAGGTAGCTCCACCCTTTCCCCAGGTTCCGCGCAAGCCCTTGCATGGTAGACCCACGAAGTCATCCTATCTTAATAAACTTATCAAAAAGCCGCACTACGAAAGTAAGTATAAATACAGAAATTCATAAGTAAGTATAAATACAGAAATTCATAAATAAAGAAATATAAATATAAATAAAAAATAAATATATATATATATAAGTATATATATATATATAAGTATATATATATATATGTATATAGACGTATATTTGTATGTGTCCTTTTACCCCTCTCTCTAATATGCACAAACCCCATCCCTAGTCCCTTTTAAGCCCAGGTCGCGAGAGTCGGCTGGTGGATGGGTCTCTACGGAGGCCTATGTCCGAAGAGACAGTATGCATTCAGCAACTCACCCTACGTCAGACGGCTAGACCTGGGAGTTCTCAAAAAAACCCACCGACGACAGACACAACGAAAGAACAAGATGAGAACGGTAACCAGGAAGACCCGAGCGGATGGAACTGTTACCTTTACAGGAACAAAACAGCTGAAGTCCACAGAGACGCTGCGATTTGATTCTAGCATTATTTGTGTGTACTGGCTTCACAGTGCTATCCCATATGTACTATGTAGATAAATGTAGAGGTATCTACTACGAAGTCCTGAAGCTAGTTTCTGGTTGTGCGAAACAGCATCGAAGATAAAAGTTGGTACGGCTTGTCAAGGTTTTATGTTTTCGGTTACACAGCCATGAAATTACATGGTGTTGGGTAGGTCTACGGGGTTTTAATGAACTATGTGTTTCACCACGGATTGGGGCTACAGGGCTGTGATGGTTTTGTAGGGTTTTGGTGCCTTATGTACCAGATGCTTAGTCTAGTGCTCTGTCGGGTAGACTGGCACTCGGGAAACAAGTTTTGTTGGGATTTATAGAAGGCTTTATAAGGGATACTTGTGGTTTTCACTAGGTATATATATATATATATATGTATATATACATATATATATATATATATATTATATCTATAGAACGATATATAGATATATACAACCTAGTGCTTTGATTGGGGCTGTTCTTCTATTTGATATGTTTTGCCTGCTCAGGATCTACCCAATGCCCTTTGCTGATGCAGTGGCAAACATCTTCGAGGATTTGAGGTCGTCGGCTAAGGGTTGCCCCGCGGTTCCGGATATGTGTGATGGTCTCGCTTCCTTTAAAGCAGCAAAGACACCGCCAGATGTGCAGCGGCTCTTCCAGCAGGCGGACCTTAGGTCTGTCTACGACTATTTGAGAGGAGGGACTCATTTAGAGATCCCTCCCGAGTGGAAGGCCCTGTTCCCTGCTAGACAACGAAAGAGATCTTGCAGCTAGGGCAGGGTTTCGCCTCGAAGGGGCGGAGAAGCTCCCGACCAGACCGTGGGTTATCAGTTCACCACTAGCTCTACGTAGGATTCTACAGGCCCCGGGACCCTGATATGAGGTCTTTTGAAGCGGTAGAGAGGTAAATCAATATCCAGGTTGGTTCTACATAATTTAGAATCGCTTTTAGAGCAAATCTATCAGTTTTTAACAAATAGAAAGTAGGTTTTTAAGGCCAAAACCCATAAATACCCATCGGAAACCCATAAAAACCCGTCGGAAACCCATAATTAAAACACAAGAACCCGGTTCTTATGTAAAACCCACTTTTTGAAAACCCATAAATAAGCGTCGGGAACCCATAAATAAGCGTCGGGAACCCATAATTACCCGTAGGGCAAAAGTAGGTTTTTATAAACCCCAGATTTAGCGCTTTTAAGCGGTTTATGTACCGACTGATCGGGCTTTTCTGCGGAACTTTCGCCTAATTGGGCTACGCTTGGTCGATTGTGTCACCTGAACACTATCGTCGCCTGCAAAAATACCGAAACGTCAGAGGAACATGCTAGGCCGCCTGGTATGATACCTCATCGGCTTCTTCCGTGAAGGACTGAAGTGTGCTCAAGCCACGGTAGTGGAAACTAGTCAGCCAGCGAGGCTGCAGGCCAACCATGTCAAAGGCATGGAGCTGCCAGACCCTGGCAGCGGGATATGATCAGGTTATGCGAGACGCGGCCGAGGAGCAGCTTCTTGCAGACGAGCAGGCTATATTGAACAAGATCAAAGTACTTCGCTTCAACATAATCAAATAGTAGCTTGCTTCATACTGTCCGAATCAAGCAGACATACCGAAACATGCTTCCCTCCCACTAAGATGCTTCAAGTCTCCATCACAGACGACGAGCAAGTCCTCTCCGTGAGCCCGGTCCCGCCTTCTCGATCATCGTCGCCCCAGGCCGTCGATCCGCATTGCGCCTGTGACACACATGCATGTGTTGCCGCAGGCTGTTGGTCGTGGATCCACGGAAACCCTGACTGTACCCGCTACTGCCCTGCTGTCCTGTTTCACGAAACGTTTAGCCGAATCATCTGGTATATAGTCTCTACACAATGTAGGGGGCTCATGCCAGGAAGCAGAGCTGGCCGAGATGCATGCTTGTGTGCCGGAAGATGAAGAGGACATGGTTTTTCCTGCTTTTTTAGCATGCATGCATATCTTCGTACCCTAATCCTACCTAGTCGCTGCTGCGGCAAGCAGGAGACCGGAAAGAGTGTGGAACCAAGCGAGACCGACGTGGCTGAGAAGCCGTGTGGTTCCCGCCGACCATTGAAGCGCAAACGAGTGAAGACGAGACGTGCGCCTGTCCTGCAGACCAGTCCGTTAGCGCAGCTTTTTCGAGTGCTGTGGTTTTCGTGCTGCCTTTGCAGGAGCTGCTTCAGGAAGCGGCCAAAGCGAGAATTGCTCGCATGACCAAGCCGAAGCGCAAGCGTACAGATCTGAATGTGCCGCAATTTGTCATCGACAAATGGAACTCCGGTACAAGTTCCAAAGACGAGATGGCCGAGTTGTTGATGCAAGTCAACAACGATAAGGAACATGTCATTCATATAGCGCTCTGTATGCGACCCCTCAACAACATGCCTAGCATGACTTGTTCATCCTCGCACCCTGCAAGGACAAGTTCGTAGAAGAACTCGAGCTTATCATCCGGAAAGTCAAGAAGTTCATTCTTCATGTAAATGAAGGATGGTACTCTGAAAGCGAGATGAAAGCGGAGCTGAAGTGGTCGGCGCCGGGAGCCTACCTGGGAAATTTAAGGGCAGGGGGGATGTACTGATTCCATCACGAATAATACAATTGGTGCTTGAACACTGCCTCCTTGTGCAGGCAAAGGATAGCCGGTGCGAAGAAGCTTTGCGAAGCCAACCCTGACCTGACCAGGACTTCTTATGCAGCAATTAGTTAGCAAATCTCTTCACACGCTTGAGTATCTGGAACACATGCAAGGGTTGTACTCAATGGGTCTTGTTCATGCGAGCAGGAGCAATGTGTATGACGGTGTCAAGGAATATTATGTCGTGGTCAGAGAATCTGGTCAACATGTTCACGCTCAAGAGCATGAGCAGAACCAGCGCAAGAGGATGAAGGCCCCGACCATCCCGGTAATTCGCACGAAAGCCTGAAGCTCCAACCAAAACCCAACCAACCCCTATATAAGTCTCTGAACAGGCCGATGAACCCATGGACTTCAAGAAGGACCAATTCGACCTGCTGGACAAGGCCAAGGCTCGCTCTTCCGTGCCAGACCGCGAGGAACCTGCAAACGCAGGCAAGGCATCTGCAAACGAGGCCCCGGGTCCAGAGACTTAGTGTTTCAAGACGTGTAGATAGGTATAGGATGTTATAGGGATTTAGGGCTACAGGGGCTTATATATAGGGTTTATGCAGGTAGGGCTTATATAGGGTTTATGCAGGTAGGGCTTATTGAAGTTTTTCTAAGAGATTATGTAGGGGTTTGGGGGTTTGTGTGCCGTGCGTGTGTGTGTGTGTGTGTGTGTGTTGTAGGCGGGTTGTGGCTGTGTGCCCGATATACTGTATGTGTGTGTGTGGGGGTGTGCCTCTTTGTGTGTGTGTGTGTGTGTATGTATGTATGTATGCATGCATGCATGCATGCATGCATGCATGCATGCATGCATGCATGCAGGCAGGCAGGGAGGTAGGTAGGTAGGTAGGTAGGTAGGTAGGTAGGTAGGT